CTCTGCTTCCGGCCCTGTTGCCTGGCCCGGCCCTGCGGTTCCCTCGGGACGAAGTCCTGGGCCGCGGCGCCCTGGGGGTGAGGCTCAGCACCCCGTCCCTGGTGGGAACCGTGCCCCGTCACCGCGGGCCGTAGCAGAAGGGGGCCGCTCGCTGTGCGAGCTTTGACGCTGTGCGAGCTGTGGCCCTCAGCACCCTGGGCCAGAGCGCACCAGCCCGCCGCGGAGGGCCCAGGACAAGTTCTACAGGCTTTCCCAGATACAGCCCGTCAGTCCCCTCAGCCTCCAGCGACAGCGCGCGCTATCTTTGGTGCAGACCTGGGTTGCCCGGGCTGGAAAGGAGTGCAAACCCGTTGTGTTTCGGGCAGAGCGCGCCCATGACTCTGGGCAAAAAGGTTTTAGAAAGCAGTCCATGCATGAGGCGCTTTAAGTAGTGAGCGTGTCACTTGGCTCCAGTGAGCCTCAGTTTCCACATCCATAAAATGGCGATGGTAATTATGCCGGCCTCCCGGTGTCTAATGAGATCTCCGGATCCTAATCTCACGGGAAAATTAAAGAATGAAAACTGGTTGGTTCTAAGCGTCCTGCCACTTAAGTGTGTGATTTGGCAAGGGGCTTCTTTCAAAGGGAAGTTGGCAAATAGCTAGCGAGGGGGATAATTGACTGTGTTGGGTTTTACTTGGTTTAACTGCAAATTAAGCGAGGGTTGCATCTCCTGTGGCCACTGAGGCCAGAGTTTGAAAGAGGAAGAGGTGGATTCAATGCTTTTCTGTTCTCTGCCTCCCTTGTGCATGTAGGTGGGGGATGGGGGGAAGAATTCATTCTAGGACAGAGGGGATGGGTGTGCGTGTTTCTGTAATTTCTTTGGGTTTAGTGAATCTACTGTTGGAGATACCGTGTATAGTCAGAAAGTACCCCTTCCCGGGAGTGTTCAGAAGCTTAACTTTAAACTCAACATTCATGGGTAAACCGATGGAGAGGTGAGAGGTGAGAGGGGCCCTCACTTTCATTTTCTCCTGGCCTCTTGGTGATGAAGTAAGCAGTAAGTGCCCCCTTGTGCCAAGGAAGAAGTACTGTCGCAGTTAGCCTTGTTCCCTTGGTGGAGAATTTTATTTACTCCGGAGTTTTCTGTGACTTTGTCATTTTATTGTTGTTTGCTTTTTGGATTTTTTGAGTTAGAGTTTCTCTATGTAGCTTTGTAGACCAGGCTGGCTTCGAACTCACAGATAACCACCTGCCTCTGCCTTCCCAGTGCTGGGATTAAAGGCAAGCGCCACCACTACCCGTCTAATTTGTTTTAATTGTTATTTTGTGTGAATGTGTTTGTGTATATCTGTGTGGCTACTTTGTTTTGTTTGTTTTAATTGTTACTTTGTGTGCATGTGTATGTGTGTGTGGCTACAAGTGTGCTATGGCACACCTGTGTAAAATCAGAGGCCAACTTGTAGGAGTGCCTCTTCTTCAACACAGTAGGAGCCACAACTGCTTTTAAATTGAAGAGAGAGGGAGAGGAAGGAAGGAAGGAAAGAAGGAAGGAAAGAAAAAGAAAAAAAAACCTTGAAGTGCATTCTGTGCCTCAAAATGGCTTTAGGTTTTTTGTACATTGTTGCCACTCCTGTGGAGATGGGAAAAAGCCCTTTACTCCTTCCCTAGTGGTAGACTCTGTCTTTGCCCTAAGTTTGTTTTAGCAATGGGAGCTGGCCGAAGTCCTGCTGAGCAGTGGTTTTCTTTTCCTTCTCCACTTAATTTAACCGACCAGCTGAACACACATCAGAGAGCTAAACTGGCATGTGTAGTTATTACAGGCTTCTAGTATGGTTCTGTGTCCCACTTTGGGGACTCTGGTTTGGGAATTCATTTATTATTCTGGGCAAGAGGGAAAGAGCACATGCCAAATAATAGCAGCCACACATTGATTTGTGTAGTACTTTTTAGTTTAGTCTGTTTTACCATGAATACAAATTTGTGAGATGGGGATGGGAGGGGATAATCTTATCCCATTTTACATATAAAGAAGGAGTCTCAGAGAAACTAAATGAGAACCTGCAAGTGGCAGATCTGGGACTTGAACCCAGGTCTTTGGCTCCTATCTAAAAGCATTCAACGGGTTTTTAAAACTTCTGTGAGCTTAGCTTTCCAGCTTCGTGCTTACCTATGTGTAGAACTTACCTGACTGGAGTACAGTGCTTCCAAGTGACACCCAGTGGTCCATCTGCCTTCAGAGATAGCCTTCCCTCTGGAAAGTCAGATGGATGATTCCATTTGCCATGAGATGCTGATGGGGGTAGCTCCTGTGAAGAAAATGTTAGTGCTTTTCTTTTGGCCCATGTGTGACATTTTCTTCCTTGCGTGTTAGAGTTTAGAAACCTGAGGAAGCTCAGACCTGGTGGTGAGAGGATGTGGTCCCTGGACCCATCCCAGAAAGAGGTGCTGAGATTTGCAGTGAGCTGCCGCATCCTGACTCTAATGCTACAGGTCAGTCTGGTCCTTTCCCTGAACATGCTGTTGTTGTGTGACTGAGCTAGGAATGAAGCATAAATGGTCCTCATCTCTCCACTGCCTGTGGTGCCTCGTCATGTGGTTCCAGCCGTACAGACTTAGACCTGACAGCTGAAAAGTGGGCAAGAGCCTTAGTGGTGGTATTGGTCTTGTGTCTTACACACGAAGCAGCAGAGGCCCAGGCAGGTTAAGTGATTTGTCCAAAGCTATGTAGCAAGATGAAGGGCCAGGCTAGGTGTTGGTAGCGCATGCCTTTAATCCCAGCACTAGGGAGGCTGAGGCAGGCAGATCTCTGTGAGTTCGAGGCCACCCTGATCTACAGAGCAAGTTCCAGGACAGACTCCAAAGCAATACAGAGAAACCCTGTCTTGAAAAGCCAAAAAAGAAAAAAGATAAAGGGCCAGAGCTGGACCTCAGGCTCCCAAACTCCCTACCCAAACTGGAGTTTTTCTTACAGACCTTAGTTATCTGATGGTTTCACCAACATAGATACTTTGAAGGTGTGTGTCACAGCCCAGAGTATTGCCAGGGTTCCCTTACTTGGAGCCTGAGTAGTGTGTTAGTTGACTGGGAGAGAGGAAGCACTTCCAGAGTTCCAAGACCATCTATGAATATTCATCAGGAATGATTCCCCTTGAGTTAGCCACTCGGTTCTCAGTATGTTTGCCCTTTTGCCACACCTTCCCCCGAGGCTGCCTTGATACATATTTTAATCAAAATCACACTTTTTGAAATATTATGAAACATTTGGTGCCTAGCTTAGTGCTTTACACTTGGTTGTCCTCTGTTTGTGATCATGAATGAACCTAGGTCAATACCCTAGAGTTGCTGTGTTATTGATATAATGATGTATGTTCTATATCACCCGTGTTTGGGGCTCCTAGCTGCTCCCTTTGTAGAAACCTTTTCTTTCCTCCCTCTGAGCTTCTAGCTCTGAATCTTCCCTCACCCATTAAATGAAGCACTTGAGGTTCTACTGGCTTGGGGAGGCCGAGCTGTTACCTGTGATCCTTAACCCCCATCCCATTTCTTTTCACTGTTTGCAGTGGCCTAATAAAGAGACTGACTAAAGAGCCAGGCAGCTGTGTCACACACCTTTAATGCCATCACTCAGCAGATCTTTGTAAGTTCAAGGCCAACCTGTGAACTAAGTGAGTTCCTGGACAGCCAGTGCTACACAGAGAAACCCTGTAAGAAAGAAAGAGAGACTAATGGAAAGGAGAATGAGCCTCTAAGTGAGCTGTGCTCTTGTTGCTAGGCTGGGGAGCCTGACTCAATGATGGCTCTGAACCAGCATCAGCTGAATTCCTGGCAGAGTCAAAGGAGCAGTGCAGCAAGTCAGCATCTGGGGTAAGGAGCCAGGACAGCTGTGTTCTCGTTCAGTGCGATTTTGGAAACAGTATATTTCCTCAAATCCCTGAAGCTCAGCCACCAAAATTATAGTAAGTACCTATTCCCAAAACTGTGCTAAATTGTAAGCAAAAGGTCATGTTTTCCTTCAAGTAACTGACAACCTAATGAGGCAGAAAGACATATAACAATAAATTGGATTTCACTCTCTTTTTTTCCTCATGTATCAGATTATATCCCTAGCTACCCTCCACTGTTGCTGCTGTCGCTGTCAATAACAGTTATTCTTCGAAGGTTTTTAACTCCCGGTTCACTGGCACTCTTACTAGTAACTGCTTCTGTTGATGTCTGTGGTTTCATTATTAATCATTTGATGCGATCAGCACCTGATCCTCATGTCATCATCCCATTTCCTTTCAGGGGCCTTGTCCCCACCACTCCATAGTGCTGCTCCATAGCCAACACCTGCCAGAGAGACTATGCATGCATCTCATTCTCTGGCTCAGACCTGATTCTGTCACATTCTCTGGCTTTGTAATCCATGGAACCTACCGTGTTGTTTTGGCCTTTGCCCCCCAGCCTTCAGCTTCCTCTTCCCAAACCGAGTCTGTTCCTTCTCGGTGATCATTCCTATGCATACGTGCAACTCTCTTCTTCCGTTATCCCTGTTTTATTCATAAGACACAAGTCTCGCCTTGGTGAATATAGTGATCTGCCCCCTCATGCCTATGATACCCATTTAAAAAAAAACATGCAAGTATATTAACTAGCTTTTTTTTTTTTTTAAATACAAGATCAAATGAGTCATTGGTATCACCTGGAAATTTTGATGAATTTCCATAGCCCACTCACCCTCCTGTTCTCTTAAATATTCTTTGCACCTCACCTCACAGTTACTTGGGGACTTTTTTTTTTTTTTTTAAATATAGTGTTGGGCCGGGCATTGGTGACACACGCCTTTAATCCCAGCATTCGGTAGGCAGAGGCAAGCAGATGTCTGTGAGTTCCAGGCCAGCCTGATCTACACAGTGAGTTCCAGGACAGGCTCCAAAACAATACAGAGAAACCCTGTCTTGAAAAAACCAAACAAAAAAATATAAGTAGTGTTGGATGGAGATGTAGCTCGATGGTAGAATTTGTGCTTAGCATGTGTGAGGCTCTGGATTTTATATTCTGGTGCATGAATGTACACACACATGCACACACACACACACACACACACACACACACACACACACCATATATAAAAATTAAAAATTTAAGATTCCAATACCCAGGGCTGGCAGGATGGCTCAGAGAGTAGCCACATGCCTCCAAACCTGATAACCTGACTTTGGTTCCTGTGATCCATGTGGTGAACCAACTCCCACAATCTGTCCTCTGCACACGTGACATGGCATATACACATCCTCATACACATAAAATAAATAAAAACATAATGAATCAAATGTCCAGGCTCTGTTCAATCTCATTTTAAGTAACTATGGGGGTGTCCTAGGGTTGTCACTATTGTTTAAATCCCTGGATAGTTTGCACAGCCTGACTTTATAGCCAGCACTTATTTTATGCATTTTTCTCTTTCCACAATTTAATCTTTGTTTTACTATTTTATGTGTATGAGTGTTTTGCTTGTGTGCATGAATGAATACCAAATACATACAAGGAGGGCATCAGATCCTCTGGAACTAGAGTTATGGACTGTTGTGGGCCACCATATGGGTGCTGGGAATTAAACCCAAGCCCTGCAAGAGCAGCAGGGCCTCTTAACTGGCCAGTCTCTTTACAAATCCATAACAGCTTTCCCCCAGTACCTTCAAGTAGGAATTCAAATTCCTATCTAAAGACTCAGGGCAATTAGCCTACCTACATGTGTCTTTGTGGCTTCACTACTGATTGTGTGATAAACCATCTCTGTTCTTCCATCTATCCAGCAGGCGCTGCCCTGTTACCAGCCCAGAGTTCCTTCCAGTGCTTTTCACTGGTTCATTCCAGTAATACGCAAAAAATTGTCTCTCATTCCCCACACACACACTGACACCAGGCATGGTGACACACAGGTAGCAGGCACTGGGACATGCAGGGGCAGAAAGATCAAAATCAAGGTCATTCTCAGCTCTGTTTCAGGTTTGAGCCCCCTTCACATACATGAGACTGTCCTTTTTACTTTACATTGCTCTACCTACTACCCCATTTCTTCCCTCTTCTTCACAGCAAAACTCCTCAAAAGCATTACGTGCACCATCTCCCCTTCTGTTAGCTAGGTGGCTTCTCACCTCCATTCTGCTGAAGTAGCTCTAATCGGTCACCAGTGACCTTCACATTGTTGAAGTCTGTGATCAGTTTGCAGTTGCTGTTTTACTTGGGTCCTGTCAGCAGCATTCAGCAGTTTCTCAATCCTGGTTTTCACTTGGTTCTAAGACACTGTTCTCCCCTGCGTTTCCAAAAGCTCACTCACTCATCATTCACTGTTGATGCTTGTGTGCCTGGAGCTCACTGTGTGGATCAGGCTGGCCTGGAAACCACAGGTACCCGACTGCCTCTGGCTCCTGAGTTCAGAGTTTCAAGGCTTATGCCAGCATGTCTGGCTTCCTGCTTTTTCTCCACGCTGGATCATGGGAAAAAAGCAGGAGGACTCTTGCCAGGAGGACTCTTCATCCTTGATGGGCTCTGTCTTCAGATCTCTTCTGTATCTCTGCTTCCTCCCCAGGCAGTCTCCTTCAGTCTTACAACTGCGAGAACCATCTCTACTTCCATCTCCAATTTATGTGAATCAAGATCTGGCTTTCATTTGTAGACGAAGGCATCTCCTGCTTGGCTGATCTCTGTTAACCAGTTAGCACACACACACACACACACACACACACACACACACACACAAACCCCAACCATATCAACAAGTCTGTTTCTCCCGTTTTATTCAGTGGTAACTCTTTTCTTCCAGTTACTCACCAACACCTCCTCCTTTACCCCACAGGCACTCTTCAACATCATCATCCCAGATCACCACGCAGATGCCTTCTCTCCTCCCCGCCTGGCCTCCTCCTGCTCTGTGGATCAGCTTGTGGAAGGTCTCCTGGGTGGTCTGTCTAGATGGGATGCAGAACACTTCCTGTTTATTGCTGAGCACGGCTACCTTTATGAGCACAACTTTGCCTTCTTCCCTGGCTTCCCCTTGGCCCTGCTGATGGGAACTGAACTGCTGAGACCTTTGCAGGGCCTCTTGAGCCAGCGCAGTTGCCTACTGGTCTCAGTAGCACTTCTCAACTTTCTGTTCTCTGTGCTGGCTGCAGTCACACTTCATGATTTGGGTTGTCTGGTGTTGGGCTGTCCCCGCCAGGCCTTTTATGCAGCCATGCTCTTCTGCCTCAGCCCTGCCAATGTTTTCTTGGCAGCTGGTTACTCAGAAGCTTTGTTTGCCTTCCTGACATTCAGTGCCATGGGGCAGCTGGAGAGGGGCCGGAGCTGGGCAAGTGGGCTGCTCTTTGCTCTTGCCACTGGGGTGCGCTCCAATGGGCTGGTCAGTGTCGGCTTCCTCCTCCATGCTCAGTGCAGAGGCTTTTTCTCTTCTCTTGTGGTGCTGAACCCCTTGAAACCGCTCTTCAAACTGATGGCCTCTCTCTGCTTGTCAGTACTCACTGTCAGCCTTCCCTTTGCTCTCTTTCAGTATTATGCCTACACCCAGTTCTGTTTACCAGGCTCTGCCCACTCCGTCCCTGAGCCTTTGGTACAGTTAGCTGTGGACAAAGGCTACCGGATCACAGGAGGAAATGAGCCCCCATGGTGCTCCTGGGGGCTCCCCCTAGTATACAGCTATATCCAGGATGTGTACTGGAACGTGGGCTTTCTGCGATACTATGAACTCAGGCAGGTGCCCAATTTTCTACTAGCTACACCAGTGGCTGTACTGGTTGTGTGGGCAGCCTGGACATATGTGACTACCCACCCTTGGCTCTGCCTTACACTTGGACTTCGAAGAAGCAAGGACAGTAAGAAGACCCTAGAGAAGCCCCACCCTGGCTTCCTCAGTCCAAAGGTGTTTGTGTACCTGGTCCACGCTGCAGGGCTGCTGCTCTTTGGAAGCCTGTGCATGCATGTTCAGGTGAGGCGGGTTTCTCCCTGAATGGATTGTGAATACAGGTAAAACCTCACAATTGGAAGACAGTGACTTCCTCACTGGATGGCCCATGCTAATTTAGTCAGCCTGTATACAGTCAGGTGTGGTCAGGCACTGAGGAGGAGGAGGCAGGATGATTTTAAATTGAATGAAGTCAGCCTGACTGATCTGCATAGGCTAAATAGCCAGACAAACACAAACCTGGGTCTTTCTTTGTTCCAGAATCTAAATTAGAATGGTGGCTCAGGCCTTTAATCCCAGCACTCGGGTTTATGGTATAAACACAGAGGTAGACAGACAGATAAAATTAGGGACTTCGGTGCAGCTCTCCTTTCCCAACACTACCTAAAACTGTCTACAATCCCAGCACTTGGGAGATGGAGGCAGGGGGAGCTCTGTGAGCTCCAGGCAGGTCAGGCTATCTAGTGAGACCTTGCCTCAAAAAAAAACAAAAATAGTTAAGGTCATTCTTTACTACATAGTGAGTTTGAGGTCAGTCAGCCTGGGCTATATGAGACCCTATTTGTTTCAAATTATAATTCTGTTGTTATTTTTAAATATATATATACATATGGGCTAGAGAGATGGCTCAGAGGTTAAGAGCACTGGCTGATCTTCCAGAGGTCCTGAGTTCAATTCCCAGTAATCAAATGGTGGCTCACAACCATCTGTAATGAGATCTGGTGCCCTCTTCTGGCCTGTAGGCATACGTGCAGGCAGAACACTGTATACATCTTTAAATATATTATGTATACAGTGTTGGACCTGCACATATTTAAAATATGCATATATATTTTTTAACAGATGTATTTATTATTTATACAGTGCAAGGCCAGCCTGGTCTACAAAGCGAGTTCCAGGATCGCCAGAGAAACTCTGTCTTGAAAAGCAGGCCCCCCACCAAAAAACAGAAGATCCAGTTAAGAAAATACTACATATGTACTAAGAGCGTGACTTAGTGACTTAGTGGTAGAGCACTTGCCTGGCATCTGAGAGCCCTGCGTTCAATCCCCAGCACACAAGCAAAGGTACAGGCACTTGCTGTCAAGCATAGCTGACCTGAGTTCAGTCCTTGGCATCCACATGATAGAAGAGAACTGACCACACACACACACACAATCAGTGAGTGTATTTGTTGTGAATGTGGAAAAGTAGTTAACTGACTGAGGCTTCATATTTAAGATGGGTTCTGAAAGGTATACCCTTCCCATGTAAACAGCACGCAGAGGTGGGGGAATGGCTGAACTGAGGACGTGCTTACAGTGCACACACAGGAGGCGGCATCCTCAGCTTAGCACCACGTTAAAAAGCAGGCGTGGTGGAGTTCATCTGCTGTCCTTGTGCTGGGGAAACCATCAGGAGGGCCCCTGGTGTGCTGGGCACTCAGTGAACTGTCTCAAAAGATCATTCAAGACATCCTCATACACAGAGAGTTTGAGGTCAGCCTGCACTCCACGATTTCTGTCTCCAAGACAAACAGCAAAGAACATGATCCAGGTAGATGAGGCAAGGGATGGGCACAAGCAAAGGTGTGAAGGCTATGAGCGGGCGTTGTCAGCCGGGATGGAGTAACCCAGGTTCTCTTGGAGCCCTTTACCTAGTACACAGACTGCCTGTGACGATGTTTTAGGGTGTCTTGAACACAGGCAATAGACCATCCTGTCCAGTGTTGTGGTGGTGGTGGCAGTATGGATCAGGGGTTTGAGCTTATGTCCAATTTTAAAGTTCTTGGCTGTCTCAAGGAAGTCTTTCCCTGCACCTACCTGTCTTCCCATCACAGGCATATAGTGACAATTTGTGATGTTCTCTGAGCCATGTGACTAGGGAAATACAAAGTAGTCATCTGTGTACTTTGTGGCTGGATCAGCTTTGAAGTGAGTGCCAGGCAAGCTCAGAGTTTGCAAGGTAGGTGACAGCTCCAACTGTGAGATGGGAAAGGTGACTGCTGCTTCCCTCTGACCCGGCCCATGTGATAAAGCTCAGGTTCCCAACCTCCAACAGGCTAAAATTTAGAGGCTGTGGGCTAAAATAAGACCCTATAGAGATTTTAGTATTGGTTGGCCCATTATTATGGTAATTAGCCTGAGACTGATTATTGGTAACTCAAGGTTGCCTGGCGGGTGGTACACAAATCTTTATCAGGCAGATCTGCAGCTTTGCTGAATTTGCTTTCCCAGTGTGATTTTCTAGTTGTCAGACATGATTCACCCAACCACATCATTGATGCTCCAATCGATATGGGATTTTTGTTTTTGTTTTTTTTAGGTTCTCACACGATTGTTGTGCTCTTCCACTCCTGTTGTGTACTGGTTCCCAGCTCACTTGCTTCAGAATCAAGAACCACTGTTGAGATCTGTAGACACAGTACCTGAGAAGCTTCTTGAGAAAAACTCCCCACCAGGACAGAAGGCCCCCAGAAACTGTATCATGAAACTCTTGTACAACTGGAGGGCCTGTTCTCCAGTCACAAGATGCATTCTTGGCTACTTCCTGACTTATTGGCTCCTGGGACTACTCCTCCATTGCAACTTCCTGCCTTGGACTTGATCTGGAATCTCAAGGGACAGGCTGGAAGCTGATTTAACCCAGGGGCTAAAAACTTCAAGACACACTGGCTGGGACTGCCTGCTCATCCCTGAGAGCACTGTCTGTTAGGATCTCCCCCTGTGCCCCTGGAGACCAGTTAGGAATGGAGAATAGCAAGGAATTGAGCCCCTTCTTGTCCTTAGTGGGAGGAAGAACTGTTTTCTGTGCCGAATGGAGTTGGCTCAAATCAACAAGCTTCAGACAATCTTAAACCTCCTGCTGACCCATGTAGGTGTTTTTTGTTTTTTTGAGACTGGGTTCACTGTGTTGCCTTGGCTGTCCTGGAACTCGATTTCTAGACCAAGATGGCCTGGAACTCAGAGATCTGCCTACCTCTGCCTCCCAAGTGCTGGGATTAAAGGTGCAACACCACTGCCTGGCTTCCCATGTGTAAATTTAAGTTAAATGTTTGCTCAAAGCTCTAACCAACAGCCTGATCCACTTGAGATGGTGAGGACAGGACAGTGAAAAGAGGAAAAATGGGCTGCCTGCTTTAAGTGAGACATTTCTGGAGTTTCCTTTATGATGTGTGCATTTATATAAAAAATCCTACACTATGAAAATTTAAAAACTTGTATTTGTAATGAATTTGGGGGTGGGGGTCAGGGGAGTTGAAACAGGGTTCTTCTGTGTAGAGATCAGGCTGGTCTTGAACTCACAGAGATCCACCTGCCTCTGCCTCTTAGTGCTGGGACTAATGGTGTGTGTCAGGCACTGCTGAGTTACTTTTTATAAGGACTTGGGGCTAGAACTCAGTAAAGCATGTGAGGCCCTAATTTCAATAATAAATGATTTGAGTCAGAGCACAGGATCATGTTCCAACTATGTAATCCTAAATACTTTGAGAGCCTTCTTTACCTACTCTGAAACCAAGGAAGGTGCTGTCCCCTGGGGTATGGGTTAGGTCTTTCAGGCCTTAAAGTCTTGAGGTTCCCTTAAACAACAGATCCCAATCTAAACACCTGGGGGTTCAAATGTGACCTAAGTGGGGAGTCCCCCATTTCCTTTGGTCAATTAGAAAGAACCCCACTTCACCCCTGGGGACAACCCTGAATAGGAGGAATGACACCTGGTGTAAAAGGCTAAGCCAGGATGACTGGTTTTACTCCCTCAAAAGCTCATGCCTGATTGGTAGGCACGAGTCAGAGGCACCAACACCACAGCCCTGATGGGAAGCACTGTAGCCGGTCCAGGTTGTGGAATACAGCCCCTGACCCTGCTTCCTGGCTCTTGTTGGTTACTAATGGTAATATCACTGCCCCTGGTGAGTGTTGTGGCTCCCACTTATCTCAACACTCCAGGATGCTGAGGCAGGAGAGTTTGGGGGCAGCTAGAGTAAGTTCCTGTCTAAACTGGAAAAATGCTGGCCCTGCCCAGCAGTGTGTGCTCACATCTTGAGCCAGGTAAGAGTTTGGCTCTGTATCATTATCCTTCTTAGTCCCCATTGAGCCAAAAATTCCAATAAGCAGCATTCTTCAAAACAGATGGCAATCCGCAGCAGCTTCTGGAAAGCTGAGAGTTAGAATTTGGACACACTCCCTCCAACCGTGACAGAAAGCTCAACTTGCCAGCTGAAGGGAAGCTCCTGGCCGAGACCCAGCACCCTCCGTGGGAGTCTCCAGCCAGCCTGGCCAACGAGCATTCCCACCCATCACCACAGCGCTAGCACAGCCAAGCATTTGGTCCAGAGTCAAATGCTACTGAAAATGTACACACAGATTGGGGCAGCCCTTTGCCTTCTGCCAAGACACCGAGTGCCCTTCTTGGCAAAAGGCAATCACCTCTGCCCTAGTGTCCCTCCAGCTGGCAAAGACTGCCTCTTCACCAGAAGCTGCAAATCCTAGGACACCCCCCTCCCCCAAAAAGTAAATGTGTGGGAGGAGCTGGGGTCTGGTTTGCTGGAGCACTGGGTCCTTTGGTCTCGGCTTCACTTTGTCTCATTTTAAGGGATAACCAGTAGTAATTGTTCCCCTCCTAGGAGAGGTGATTCACCCCCCACCGAGCCGAGTGTTCTCATTGTTTTGTCTCTAGACCTATCACCCCAGAAACCCTACACCTGAGGACCCCTGCTAGGTGAGCAACACCTGGAGAAGAGCGTGGTCTCTCTCTGACCTTGGAGGGCTAGTGGCTTAGGTTCTAAGGAATGGGCTGACTTTATGGCCAGCAGCTGTCCTTTTACCAGCCTATTAACAGTCTCTAATAGTCTGAGAGAGGAACATGAAGGGCCCAAGGCAGGAAGCTTCCTGTTTACCCGAGGTCTAAGAATGCCACAGCTGGGTTGGGCGGCCACAGTTTAGAGAAGTCATTTCCTTCCAAGACTCGGCTAAAATACAAACCAGACACTGCAGACCTAGAGGTAGATGTCTTTTTGTTCTTTAATGAAGGTGAGAGAAAAGGGAGCTTTGACCAGTCTCTAGCAGTCCCTCTGGGACAGGGTGATCGGAAGCCTGAATCTAAAAATGTAGTGTGGAGGCTAAAGAGATTTGAAATGGCTTCTTTCCACCAGTTGCTTATTAATGCCTATTTTGGACTAAGGAAGACAGGCACACCTCCTTCCTCAAATGTCTATTGGTGAGTTGCATTCATTAGGGAAGTGATAAATTCTTTTAGTGTGTGTGAATATG